CTTCGGCCCTTTTTTTTTGTTTTCCTTTTTTCCATTTCTTTATTTTTTGGTACTGGGGATCAAACTTAGGACCTTGCACTTGCCAGGCAGGCACAGCACCCCTGAGCTACATCCCCAGCCTCTTTTTATATTTTTGAGACAAGGTTTTGCTAAATTGGCCAGGTTGGGATTAAACTTGCAATTCCCCTGCCTCAGCCTCCTGAGAAACTAGGATTCTAGGGGTTCAGTCCCCAGGGCCGGGGGATTTGATGAATTATACTTTGCTTGCTTTTTTTTCTAACTCATGCCTATTGTATCTTTTTAAACAATGTCTGAGACATCTTTGAAAATGATTTAAATGGAAAGATTTCTATAAGAATAATGAATAATGACTACTTTTTTATATATATATTTATTGGTACATTTTAGGTATACAATACGTTTACATTTATCATTGGGTGCTTGTACCTGAACATGATGTATCTTGGTTCTTATTTTTCCCCCATTATCTGTGCGCCCTTCACCTCCTCCACCCTTCCCTATTTACATAGTGAATAATGACTTTAAAAAAAAAAAGACAGGGTCTTGCTTTGTAGTTCAGGATGGCCTTGAACTCACTATGTAGCCCAGCCTGCCTGGTGTCAGGATTCGCAGTGCGGCTGGGAGAGGCTGCTGCACGGAGGCAGCAGGGAAGTGAGACCTCTTAAGAGCGGAGCTCTCCCTCAAAGATGGGAGCAAGGAAGATTTGCCTCTGACCCTCGGAGGCTTCACTGAGCTCCTCTCTAGCCTCTTGCTGCCGACCCCTCTGCCAGTCAGGCGTCTACACAGCAGGCGCGAAGTGCAGTTTAGGCGGGAGGCTGGACTGCAGCCGCGTCCACGCAGCGAGCTCTTCCTGGGTGGCCATGCGGGATGAAGGCCACTGGACACAAGTGCGAATTCGGAGCCCTCCTCACTGTCACCCCCCCCGCGCCAGCAGTGGCCCCAGTGTGGTGAAACATAATTGCATCTGCTTATGGGCTTCCAGAGTCCCAGGCTTCAGAATCCAAGAGACTTTCCAAGGGAAGAAGCAGCAGTGATCTGCTCTGATAACTCATCAATTTATTTTCCAATTTCTGTCTTCCTCTTCCAGAGAGAGTCATGGAAGAGAAGCCGCCTCTCGGGGCTGGTGTCAGTGACAGGCCATGGAATCCGGGAGAACTGTCTGTTCTTTCCTCCTTCCCTCCCTTCTTTCTCTTCCTTCATTTCTCCCTCCTGCCATCTCTGTCTCTGTCGCTGGGTTTTGGCCTTAGAAGAAAAGCCAAGAGGAATGTTAACACCACAAGTTCCAAATCTGCGAACATGCACTAGGGAGGCACGCACTGTACTTACCTCTTTCACAGGGACATCAGGATGCGAAACCAGAGGAGTCCGCCATGCAGATACAATGTGTCACTTCATCCAAATGGCATTTCTGCTTTATTATCACCCGTCCACTCCTTGTACATTTTTTTTAAAAAGGCTAGTTTTTCTTTATCCTCACTTAGACTACTAAACACATTTCATTCAAGGGAGGCAAAACTAGACGGGCGTGGGCTTGTTGCACAAGTGGATATTAAAGCAGTGTTTGAAGATAAATGCTTTGTGACCTCAGAATGAATCAGCTCTCTGGCTTTGGAAACATTTAATGTGGATGACAAGACCCTTGCCATCCCCTGCTTGTGGCATGCGGGTCACCCGGGGGGTGCTGTGCCTCTCGGGCACCCCCAATGTATGCCATACACACAGCTGCGTGAACTTGGACCCAGTCCTCCTTTCGGTCCTGAACTCTGCTCAGGAAGCCGGGGTTTGTGCTTAGGGGTCCTTTCGGGGTACAAGCCCTCCATGGCACCGACACCCAGAGAAGCGGGACCACCGCCATGCACCTGCCCCATCCAGCAATTCGGTCTGCAAATGCTTTGTGTCTTCATCTGCGGCGCCCTCCTGGGACCAGGAGTTTATTCCGTCGTCGACTCCTGCTTTTCTCACTTTGCACACTGAGCAGAGGGCGGGTGAGTCACCTGCCCAAAGTCACACGGCTGGAATTTAAACCTTTGTGCAACCTGGGCTTGGTGGCGCACACCTGTAATTGATTGCAGCACTCTGGGAGGCTGAGGCAGGAGGGTCACAAACTAGCCCAGTGAGGGCAACAGGGTGATTAAGCGAGACCCTGTCTCAAAATAAAAACATGAAAAGGGGGTGGGGATGCAGCTCAGTCCCAAGGGCCTGGGTTCCGTTCCCAGGACCTCAAAAGAAGGACAAAGGGGAAAGGGAGGGGGTAGGGGAGAAGGTCAGCGACTGCCCCGCCCTTCACGAGCCCGAGCCCGCTGTGGAAGGGGCTCTCCAAGAATCTAATGAGCTACGATTGGGCTCCTTCACTGCCATGGCTCCCTGTGACTATTTTTGTGTTCATAACATTTCAGTCTTTGTTCTCCCTGACCTGTGTGAACGGTCATTCCTTACAAACCCGGACTCCCTGCAGCTGGACCTCAGAGCCTTCGCTCCTGATCCCAGGCTGACGCCACTGGACGGCCTGGCGCAGGCCTTCCTCAGACACCGTACTGTGGGGTGATGAGCACCTTCTGCTGGAAACACGGGAAGGATGGAGGGGCTCCCCGCCTGCAAGGAGGACCAGCTCCCTCCTGACGGACAGGGACTGGGCAGCAGCTGGGTCTCCACTGGGGTCCAAGAGTGGACAGGCCGGTAGGCTGCTCTCTGCCACTGGCGAAGATGAAGCCATGTTTCTTAGGCACTGCAGAGAGGAGCACTTCGTTTCACATAGCTGATTCAATTAACAAAAGGAGACAAATTAAAAGGAAGTCCCGAGGTGGCTGCGACTCCGCTCCCGCACCTAAGTGGATAAACAGCCTAATTGGAGCTGCCTGCCCGATGAAAGCACCATGGCATTCTGGGGGCGGCTTTGAACAAGTAGTTCTTGTTTTGCCGGAGTTCGCTGATGTCCCTTCAGAGCCGGGGCTAGGAAGGAATGGATTTAAAATGGGGTTGGAGGCACGGATGGTGAGAACTGATACGGAGTTGAAGTAGCTATTGAAGGAAGTGTGTGTGTGTGGGGGGGGTATTACTGAATTTGCTAAAAATGGAACCCGGGCTCCGAGCAGGACGCTGGCGAGCTCTCGGGGACCTTCTTCCAGCCAGCCAGGGGTGCGTGTCCCCGTGACCCACACTGAGCCACGCCTAGAGGGTGGAGAGCGCTTAGCCTTAGTGCTGCCCAGTGCCCAGGGTCACCTGGCTTCCTGCCACTGATTCAGGGCCGTCTGGCCTCTGCTCTGGTTTCCGCAGGTGTGTTTACCTGACAAGAGGAAGCCCTCCTGGGTCTGGAAGGCCTGACTACAAAAGAAATGGCTTGTTTTCCTATAAATCAAAGCCAGAGATTCCTGCTCTTATTGTAACAGGGGGACCAGGAGCCAAATCCCAGTTCATCTGAGGAGATACTGGGCTACTTGTGGTTTAGTTTTAGAAACCTACTGTCTCCGAAGGTGGCATGAGGACTTCAACACAATGGCTCTCACGGGGTGTGGTGGTGCACTCCTGTAATCCCAGCATGCTGTCTGGCTGAGGCAGGAGGAGCAAAGTTCAAGCCCAGCCTGGGCAACTAAGCGACTTAGCGAGACCCTGCCTCAAAATAAAAATAAAAAGGGGCAGGAATGTAGCTTAGTATGAAGGCCCGGGTTCAATCTCTAGTACCAAAAAAAAAAAAAAAGATAGCTTTCTACAACAAACCAATCAACAAATTTAATGCAACTCTAGTTGAAATCTTTTTGGGAGGAGATTTCAGACTGAGTCTCACTATGGGGTTCAGGCTGGCCTTGAACTCACTATGGAGCCCAGGCTGGCCTTGAACTCACTGTGATCCTCCCGCCTTAGCCTCCCAAGTGCTGGCCTTATAGGCCTGCACCACCACGCCTGGCTACTAGTTGATATCTTAATGGAATAAAAGAGACAAGGAGGAAAAGAGAAAGAACAAGAACAGCAATAAGGTAACAAGGCAGTGATTTTCCTGTCCATATATTAATACACATTGTGAATATTCAGATACACATGTGGTAATTAAAAGTGTGACCCCATTAATGCAAATGAAATGACTGTGTTCACACAAAATCCAAATGTTTATAGCAGCTTTACCTATAATAAGCAAACCTGGAAACAGCTAGAATGTTCCTCAGTTGGGGAATGAATTGTGCATCCACTCCATACCGTGGAATACTACTCTGCAGTGAATATGGTGTAGACAGCAACTCAGGAGTGGCTTCGAGGTACTGTCCTGAGTGCATGAAGCTGGACTCAAAAGGCCACGCATTGTCTGAGTCTGTGTGTAGAAAATTCAGGACAAAGCAAAGCAACAGGGACGGAAGACAGAGCCACAGTTGCTGGGGTTAAGGAAGTGGGAGGGTTTGACCGAAAGAGGGCAGCAGAGAGAACTTGGGGGCTGACGGGCTGCTGCCATCTGAGTTGGGGCGGTTACCAGTCTGTGCATTTGGCAGTCAGAACTGTACACCCCAGATGGACTTTTACTCTATGTAAACTAAGAACAAAATAAAACCCACCTGTAATGCAATGGGGTGGTGTAAATAGGACAGGAGACCATGGGGAGCTAGAAACTGAATCAAATACCAATAGTTCATGCATTTTGCTAAAGATGACATTTCGAACCCATAGGGGAAAGATGCATTCTTTAAACAGTGCTGGGAAAGCTGGTTCTTATTATTAAAAAGAAAAAGAGTCTGCCTCAAAGGAAATTCCAGAGAGATTAATCAAAGATATAAATGAGGGAGGGTGAAAATACTGGAGGAAAACACAGATTTCATAATCATCTTGGAGTGGGGTTTTTTAAAAGAATGACAAGAAAGCTACAAGTCATTAGCTTTATGAATTAAAATGAATTAAATGAATTGAAAAATTTTTTTGAAACAAGGTTTTGCTATTTAGATCAGGTTGGCCTTGAACTCAAAGGGCGATCCTCCTGCCTCAGCCTCCTGAGTGCTGGGATTACAATTCTTTTTGTTTTGTTTTAAGACAGGGTCTCTCTAGTAATTCAGGCTGGCCTTGAACTCTCTATGTAGCCCAGGGTAGCTTCCAACTCACCACAATGTTCCTTCCTCAGTCTCCCAAGTGCTGGGATTACATGTGTGTGCCACCATGTCCTGACAAGACAGCAACAGTGTCCGAGGTCGCGCTTCATTCAGCCTTGGGGTGTCCCTAGTCCAAGGACAGGCCAGGGAAGAGGCCCTGAAGCCTGACCCTCACTCCAGTGTCTCTGTGGGGTCAGTGAGGTGAGACCCTGCTATGATCCAGCTCTCTCATCCTGCCTGCCTTTTGCACTTCCCCTTGGGTTGATGTCAAGGATGCCTTCAGCCTTCCAGTAAATTTGTGCATGGGAACCTGTCTCCGGGTTTATTTCTAGGGAACTTAACCGAAGACAAGATCTTTAATATGTAAATAACTTTCATAAGTCAACCAGGAAACAGAAAAAAATGGGCAAAAGACAGTCAATTTTGATCCACACCCTATCAAATCAGATTTTCCTATATGTGCCTCAGTATGTTTTTATAAGAATGTATCATAGAAACACAACTCATAGGTGTGTCAAAATATATGTTTATTAATTTGGGGGGATAAAGAGAGATGGTTATTTTCTTCTTCATACTTTGCCATATTTTCTGAAAAAAATTTAAATATTACTCATGATGGTACCTCAGTTTGTGAACTTAATTCTTTCCATGATTCTGGTTGAAAACCAAACTGGAAGAGAACTGAATCACATTTCTCCATAAGGTCAACATTGAACCTAAACATTGAATTTGATTTGGTTCTTGTCCAATTCGGTTTGCAACCAGAATCATGGAAAGAATTAAGTTCATGAACCGAGGCACCACTATATAACTACAGGAAAAACAATACTTTTTTCTTAAGAGATGCTATTGGACAAGCTTTTCCTGTGAAATTAAGCATGCTGATCGAAACTAAGGCTTCCTCTGATGTTCAGTTTCCAATTTTTTAAAAGCCTTTTATGCTTAGAAAAAAAGATTTGAATGCCCTGAGGCCCTGGCTTCTTGCATCTGGCGGCGCCTCCTTGTAGCCAGGACTCTTTTCTCCCCTGGACACGGTGAGATCGAGCCCCAGGTTGAACTCAGAGTCGAGGAGCGAAGGCAGGAAAGCTGCCAGGGCCCAGCACGGTCTGGGCCTCGCTGGGCCCCTGCCCAGTCTCACCTTGATTTCACAGCCTTCGCTGGCGAAAGCTGTGGTGAGGTCTGAGTGGGGTGCTGCAGGGCCACCGTGTTCACAGGCCTCGCTGGGCAGGGGCGCCCTGAGCTCTCCTGCAGGATTTCTGAGGCTGCAGATCATATTCTGGGAAAGGGAAAAGAAGTGTCTTCAGCAGATTCCATTGGAATAAGGGCAACTCATGAGGTCATGTCTGGTGATTACAGCATTATCTTAATTATTTATTAATGTATGCTGCGCCCGAGAATGCTGGCATGAGCACTCTGCAGTACAAACTTTCCAACCAAGCCCAGAAACCACCTGGCGAAACTGGGCAGCGAGTCTCAGACCACCCTGGAGAATGAGCTGGAGTCAGGGGCATGTGGACCCCAGGAAGGGTCCGGACTGAAGATGACAGAGAATTCAGCAACCTTGGCCATCCCAGCCCTCAGGAGGCTGAGGCAGGAACATCACTGTGAGACTGAGGCCAGCCTGGGCTACCCGGTGAGTTCAAGGCCAGCCTGCGCCATAGGGAGACCCTGTCTCAAAAAGAAAAAAGAATCTGGCAAGCTCTCACTCCCGTGGTTCTGCTCCTGGCGCAAAAGCGGCATCTGCTGGGACCTTTTGCAGGCTTTGGGATGAGCCCAGGAGGCCTGGGTTGGGTTCCGGCCTCTGAACTACTTCTGGAGAAGGCAGATCCCTGATTGGCAGATGGGGCCTGGACCCCAGAGAGTGTGCAATTCGTCCAAGGTGAGGGAGGCCAGGGAGCAGCTTTCCTGCCTCCGGTCCTGCACAAGGGTGGACAGTGGTCCCCTCGCCCCATCGCCACTGTTTTGGGTGACCCCGGGGCACCCTGAGGACAGGGTGCAGCTCCAGGCAGCTGCCACCACCTCTCACCTCCGTCCTGCACGCTGAACCCAGCCACTGGAGCGCCGGAGCTGGAGCTGAAACGTGTGACACACACCCGGTTTCCTGAACACACTCAGGCCCCATGGTTGTGGTTGTGTTGTCTGTTTACAAACCTGACTCGAAGTCACGGTCAACCCAAGGCCTCGGCTGACAAAGAACTCGCCGCTGCTGCGGTGGTGCCCCAGGGGTCTCCGTGCCGCCGTCCCTTCCGCTGGCTTCTCCCTGAGCCTTGAGTCCTCGCTGCCCTGGAAAGCAGGGGCCTCCCTGGGCCGAGCGAGCAGCCCAGGCGCTAAGGGCTCTGCACGCCTGCAATGGGTGGGCGATGTCCTCCAGGAAAACCGCACTGCGAAAGGCGGGAAGGAAACAAGATGGAAAAAGGAAAAAACGTGGAGGAGCAGATCCTGAAGAATCTCTGGGGGAAAGTACCTGACGGGCAGGCGGTGAATGGGGAGGCGGAGGTTTTCTCAAGTTGGAGCGATTTACCGATGCTGACGGTGCACGGGAACCGGAAGAAAATGCAGACTGCCCGCAGTTCACGGAAGCTGTCTCTCATTCTCAAATAGCGCATAAAGAAGAAGACAGTACAAAGAGAAACTCTTTATCTGACAGTGAATCTGATGATAGCAAATCAAAGGAGAGACGCTGCTGACAAGCCGAGAGCAGAAAGTGGATGTTTCTGGGAAAATGGGAAGATTCAGACAGGCTGGCATCGCAGGCGGAAGAGGCGAATGTGTAATGTCCTCAGATTGTAGTTGCTTTGGTGAAGAGAGACCTGTCTTTGTTTTTGATTTACTAGTGTGAAAAAACCCTGCATTCTAATGAAAATCAAGTGTAACATGTTGGCTTTGAAAGTAGTACTGCATCTGGGGAGTTCTTGGCTTTTGTTTGTTTGGTATCAATAGCACTGGTTACTTTGAACAAATACAAACTTTCTGTAGTTGCTTCCTTTATCAGAAAAGAGCATTTGACACCTGATGTATTTCCTCTGCTATTCTAAATGTTGGGGAAATTGTCCATAGCAAACTCAATCCGAACTCATTTTTAGCTCACACATGTAAGGGCCACTCTGAGGTTTTTTTGTCTGTGTTTAAATAAAATACTCATATAAACATTCACCAAAACAAACACTGTAAGTGATAAGCTCGTGTTTCTGAGATGCCAACCTTCCAAGCAAACTGAGAAATACATCACTTCTGGGTATATTGAAAGTCTTCCTGAAGCCATAATCTTTCAAGTTACATAGATGACGGATTCTGTGCTTAATTAGACAGTGCAGAGTGGATATTTTAAAAGCAGCCATATCAGAATCCATGCCCATGTCTTTTTTTTTGTTTGGTACCAGGGATTGAACTCGGGACCTTGCACTTGTGGGGCAGGTGGCGGAACCACTGAGCTACATCCGCGGCCCCATGCCCACGTCTTTAGTCATAAAAATATAGCAGTTTACTCACAAAATTCCTGAAAAGAAAAACTATCACTACCAACGACTTCCCCACCCGAATTAGGAGACTAGTTAAAACCTGGTTGAGTTAGCTAAGGAGGACTTGTTAAAGCACATTTAAAGATTCCTTTGGGAAAAAAGGAAGAAAGTGTTCAAATGGGAAGGGAAACAGGGAGCGGGGAGGGGGAAAGGAAAGAAAGGAAAAGAACAAAAATAGAAGGAAAAAATGGAAACAAAGCCTTTGTAAATAAGGAGGGGAAGAGGGGTTGAAGGGGGTGGAGGGGAATGGGGGAAGAAAGAAAAATCAAGAGCTATCATGCACAGGGACAAATTCCCTATGATGAATGTGATCATTACGTGTATCTAAAATGTACCAATGACATTAATTTTAAAAGAATAAAGATTCCCTGTGACCTATTCCTTTACAATAAGTTGAAATCTGTGTACTCAAATGTCTAAGACTTGGCCCCCGGAAAGCTAGGTGAGGTGGTGAGAGGTGTTCTAGGACCTGCTAGGATAAATGAGTGAGCAAACTTCTGTAATCGAAATTAGTGACCTGCATGCTTTTCCTGAGCCCAACTTGGTCCTCCCATGTAGGCTCCATCTTTTCCATATTCGGGTTACAATATTTGGGTTGTTTCAGCCAAGGCCAGGAGGATGACTGTGCAGTGGTCAGAATGTTATTCTACTGTATAGTGTTTACTTTATTGTAAATAATGGTGAGCAGTCGTCAATCAATAGTTTTATATTCCTTTTAGGAAAAAGAAAGCAAGCAGGGGACACCGCACGTAGCATCAGTCAAGAAATAAGAATTTGCTGAACAGTATTTATGCAGCACTGTGCCAACGTCAAGCTGTGATTGGAAGTCATTTAGGGTACTGGGAGGAAATGTCAGCCGATGCAGAATTCCTGTTTGGGAAAGGCAGTGCCCTTATTCACAGGACATACAGAAGAACACTGAAGTTCAATACTCCTTCAGACACACTGGAAAACTTTTGTTTGTTTGTTTTTGAGACAGGGTCTCACTATATAGTCCAGGAAGTCTTCGAATTCACGGTGTAGGTCAAGCTCACCTTGAACTCATACTTGAACTCATAGTGATCCTCCTGCCTCAGCCTCCTGAGTGCTGGGGATCACAGGTGTGCACCACCACACCCAGTTCTCTGGAAAACTTCTGTCCAACCTCTGAAGGAAGGTTTATCTTTATTAGCTAAGCCACATACCCTTATCAACCATCTCAAAAGTGTCATCTTGTTTCCCAGAGATCTGGCTACCACAAACCTCACAAGCTTCCTGGGCACTTGGACGTGTAATGCATTGAAGTGGTGATGAAATCGAGGGACTGAGTAATTCAAGCCTGGGCAAGGTCGCTGCCTCAAAGTTCAGAGTCCACCAGAGCAGAAGGGAAACTGGCTGGGCTTCTAGAGCCAAAGGACACTGCAGTAGAAGCGACTTTCCCAGGTCACCTGGTTCATGTGTTTCCCTGAAGGTGGACAATAAAACCATCCAGGGTGGAGATCACTGGGGGCATGGACTTAAGTCTTAAGGGCTGCTCCGGAGGTCAGAGCTCTGTGGAAGAGTCAGACAGGCTTGGGCTCTCTTCTGCTCTGCCTGAGTGCTAGACAATTGCATTTCCTGGACCCACTCTCTCCAGGGATTGCTGGCTTAGAGAAGACAAGGCTGAGAGAGTCAGTAGAATGTAACAAGAAGATCATGAAGCCAGGCATGGTGGCTTCAGGGGGCTGAGGCAGGAGGATCGATGCACGTTCAAGGCCAGTATGGGCTACATAGTGAGTCAAGGCCAATCTCAAATACATAGCGAGACCCTGTGTCAAACCACCCCACAAAGAGAAGATGCCCAGGCCCAGGATTCACGAGCATATAAGCTGCGGGGTCTAAGTGGGGGGTGGTCTGATGGAAGACGTTTTTCTGGTTTTGGTTGTCATGACTTTCATGGGCCTGATCCAGAGAAAAGCTGCAGTGTCTCTTTCCCGGGAGGTCTTGCAGACGGCGGAAGTTCTCATGGGGAGCTTTTCCTGTAGCATGGATGCTAGACATTTCGAAAGAGCAGTGTGTAAGGAAACTAACGAGCGAGCCGCACTAAATGAGAGCCCCTCTGAATCTGGCTTCACCGTGCATTAAACCAGCACGGACAAGCCTAAGATGAGACGGTTCCTCCACGGCTCCCGGGCAAAATGTGCAAAACTAACAACTGACATTTTCTTCTTGATATTCTCCCACTCTCCCGCCCCCTTTAATTACACATGCAGTAGGGAGAGATATGGAGCCCTGCGGTCATTCTCATGCACAGGATCTTGTTTCGTTGTCTCCTTTGGGGTAAACTCCGCTCCAGCATTTGCACTCATTGCTCCTGAATTGCTACCTAATACGAAATGCTTCAGTGGGGAGAAGAATTTACCACAAACCAGCCCTCCTGGAAGGAAAAGCAGGATGTTTCAAATTCTGTGCAAAGGCTTTAAAGAAAGAAGCATGGCAACAATGTTGAGTTCCTAAAATGAGGGGATAAATGTTCCTTTTTTTTTTCTGCTTTAAATGTTTGATATAATGTATCAGTTAAAATGTATATGACCCTGCTCTTGTCATATAGGTAGGTTTTCAAGCTGGGAATATACTTTCTTTAATAGGTGCTATTCAAATTTTATATTTCCTCCAGAGTTAGTGTCATTAATTTGTCTTCAAAGGTACTTCTTAGAAGTTGTCAAACTTATTTCAAAACAGATTTTTGAAATATGCTTTCTATATCCTTTTAAATTCTGTAAAATCTGTGATAATGTCACCTAGATCTTGATATTGTAATTTTAAAAATGTATAACTGATATTGTGTAATAGGAAGTAAAGGTCTAAAGGAGCAGGGGAAGTGGGAGGGGTAGGGGAAAGGAAAAAAGAGAAAAGAAAAAATATGAGAAAAGGAAAAAAATGGAAACAAAGTCTTTGCAAATAGGGAAGGGTGGAAGAGGTGAAGGGAGGGCAGGGGAAGGGGAAAAAATAAGAACCAAGATGTTCATGTAATGGTGCAAATTCCCAGTGATGTATGTAACTGTATTTTATACCTAAAATGTACCAATAAAGTTAATGGGGGGAAAAAAAGAAAGAAAGAAGCCTGGCAGACAACCCAGCAACCACCTCCTCGATACTGTCTCCTCAGGTCTCCTCGGGTCTGCCCAAGCCGTGTCCGGAGTTAGAAAGTGTTCATTCCCAAGCCCAGGTCCATGCGAAGTCTACACCTCTCCCGATCTCCTCCCTCTCCTGGGTTATTTCGAAGCAAATCCCAGATATCCTGTCATCTCATCTGTGAACATTTCAGTATTTTACTAGCATTTTGATGGAAGCATGATCACATTGTGCAGGTCGGAGCGTGTTTCCAAAAAAACAGCACAAAACTACAATCTTGGAGTGTAACAACACCTCCAGGCCCGCCAGTGCTCGTCTGCTCCCGCGGCGGGTGGCTCTGAAGGCCCCGGTGCTGCGGAGGCCGCGTGGCGAGGCCGTGGACTCAGGCTGAGGACCCGCAGGGACGGAGTGGGGTGCGGGGGCGCGTGCCGTCCTCGCAGCCTAGCCGGGGTGGCCGAGGGCCGCGTCCAGGGCAGGGGCGCGGAGGACTGGGAGGGATGCGAAACCCAGTGGGCGGCCGGGACCAGGTGAGTCACCGGCACGGGAGACCCTTTCCCACGGAGGCTCCGAGTGTGCCCTGGGCTGGCGCCGCGCCAGGAGGAGGCGGCCCGGGATGCGCTGGGGACTAAGAGAGGCAGGTGTGGAGCTGGGGTGCAGGGTCCCCTCTGGCTCTGCCCTGGAGCGAGTGGCGCAGGCGGCCTAGTGACCTCGGGGCGCTCCAGAGTACCATGAGGAACTGCTCAGTAGGAATGCACCGTGAGAAGGCACCAGGTACAGGTGCAGGGGACTTTCTGGCAGCATTAACGACTGAGACACAGCGGGCGTGGTGTCGCACACCTGTAATCCCAGCACTCAGGAGGCTGAGTCAGGGGGATCGCTGTGAGTTTGAGGCCAGCCTGGGCTATGTGATGAGTTCAAGGCCAGCCTGCTGAACTACATGGTGAAATCTTGTCACAAAACTAACAAACAAGCCCACCACCAAAATCTAAATTCCAAGCCCTTACTCACTGCCACATGTTCTATTACACCAACATGCGTAGAATAACGACGAACAGCTTGTATTTTGTGCAGCTGAAATCCAGAGACTCTCGCGAAGTGGCTGTTTTATGTACAAGCCAGCTCAAAGGGGCTTTCACTGCCAAACTGAGGACAAGTTCCACACCAAAGTTAAGTGCAGTAGTGAATTATAAGCCCTTGAAGAAATAGCTCTGCTGATAAATGACAGCAGCAGAAGGGGGGCTCACAGAGGGACACTCAAAGTTGACACAGAGAGGCCTCAGGAGCAAGAAAACCATCGAGCAATGATCATGATGAAGGAGGATGAGGCAGGAATTATCACTGCATGGCAGATCTGAGGGGGAAATGTTGATGAAAAAGATTCGTGCGTGGCCTTAAGAGTTTCTCCCTGCTGGATCAGTGGCACATGCTGTAATAGCAGCACTCTTGGGAGGCTGAGACAGGAAGACTCCAAGTTCAAGCCTAGCTTGGGCGATTAGCTACTAAGAGGGACCCTGTCTCCAAGTAAAACATTAAAAAGGAGGGGGGCTGTGGCTGTGTGAAGGCCCTGGGTTCAATCCCCAGTAACACACACACACACACACACACACACACACGCACTTCTCAGGGCCTACTTATTAACTCAAGGGGAAGAAATTATACAGTAGAGACTGGGTGGCATTTTGAAGGTGTGATAAGAACGTGCTTTGCCAGGAAGGGCAGCTGGACAGGATGTGTCTCTCGATGTGATACCCTTCGAAGGGCATAGTGTTGCTCTCAAAGTATTCCAGCCAAAGGTGCATAATAAAACATCAGACAAATGCAAAATATGAACGTTCTATTTTTTTAAAAAAAATGAGCTGGGTGTGGTGGGACATGTCTATAATCCCAGTATTTCAGAGGCTGAGGCAGGAGGATCATCACGAGTTCAAGGCCAGCCTGGGCTACAAAGTGAATTCAGGGCCAACCCGAACTACAAAGGGAGACCCTGCCTCAAAAAGAAAAAAAAGAAAAAAGGGGTGAAATCTACAGTAAGTAACTCTAG